CATAGAAAATGGATTACAAGTTTTCAGACTGAGAGACAGCAGACAGACAAAGTATGATGTGATGTTATAAGTAGACAAAGTCAGTGTTACAATGAATCAGATTTACCAAAAATATGAAATACTAAATGCTAAAGGTTTGGTTCTACTCCTTGAATCTGTCAATTTGAATCTGGCTGTCTGACTGTCCAAAGAAAACCAGTTGCAGGCCTTGCCAGACAGTGTCTTCCCATTTAGGCTCCATTTGCACTGTTGCAACGTGGTATTTTTAGAGTTAGTGTGTAATGTGTGCTTTTGAAGATGACTGAATGAAAAGCAGCACCCATCTGAAGATCGGACTTCAGTCAGTGACATAAGCCTAGTCCCACTAATCTTCAAAGGCGGATGTATTTGAGTGCGTCGCAGCAAGAGCAGGAGCTTTCCTTTCGTCTTTGTTTTGAAGTCTTAATTGTTATTTAATTTGGGTTCTGCTTTGTTGTAAAGGCTGTGAAATGATAATTGCATTGCCTTTTCTCCTCTACCTCACTTTGATGCATGTGTCTCTATGGTCTCATCAAGAGATTCTTTTTCTTGTTGTGTAATTTCATTAATTATTCGCAATACAATGTGTCAGACAGGTGAGGTAGCAGATCACCTGTAATGACACTCGTGCTCACTATTGTGAATTTAAAAATACCATAATGACCAAACAGAAGATACAGCAAAGTGTCACAGTCTGACTTTTTCCCACAAATCACCCTTCATTATAATTAATAAAGATTTCTTGATTTGCAATACAGTTCTCATATATTAACTCCACGTTTTATTACATCATTTGATTACCCAATGATGATAGCACAACAAAGCACCGGTCAGTTCAGTCACTCTTACTGTGCTCTTTTCATCTTCCTCTCAGTCCATCAGAAAATGACTCCCCAGGGAGCGGTCATGTAACTTGACTGCGCAACTGTTACACAGACTCTTCTGGGAAGTCGTCGTTGGAAACTGTTCGGAAAAGTCCAGGCACTTTCAAAAAATACTTGGCAGGTTATTGGATGAACCATCTGTCTATCACCCTCTATTAAGGTCACAATCAAATCAACGAACCATATAACATAGTCCAACTTACTGAAACCAGTGTGGAGAAGAGTGAAAACATCTTTTTAATCGAGAATAGCCTCCAGTACCCTTCTTTGTTCTGATGCTAGCAGCATCTACGCTATGGCTGCTCTGCCATTGTTGTTTTTGCACAAATGGTCACTTCTCACACACATTGTCACACAGCTAGTCCATGAGCTATGGACATAGCTTAGCTATGTCCATAGCTCATGCTGTGGCTGCTGATTGATTCCAGGTCATTCCTTCTGACCTGGAATTCTGATGAACCTACAGATCAATACATGGGTGGATGTTTTGTCTATGAAACAGAATGAAAATTGCTAGCTCATGTTGCTGCAGCTCTTAAATATGTTCACTGAGAAATGATTTGCATTGGTCAGCGGGGTGCCTGTCAAAGCAGTGATTTATCAAGGCTGAAAAACAGGGAGTGACACCTCTGAGTGAGACTCTGCCTTTATGGGAACCTCTTATTGCAAGTTGGTCTCCTGTGGAGATGGATGTCCAGGTCATTTGCAGTTATCTGCCCACCTCAAAGTCACATAGTGTCATTTCTCTAAGTATGGAAAGATAGGAGTACGAGAGCACAGTAAAATGGACTGCAGGTTAGCCTTTTTCGTTCTGTTCTGTCTGTCTGAAGAAGACTCTGATGGTGTCTGTCTCCCAGTTAAACACTTGAAGCAAAGCCTATTACTCATCATGACACCAGTAAGAGGCCTGAGACATTTTTTTTATCTCGATTGAAGTGCTGCTGTAAAGTTTGGTGATTTTTTTTTTTATGGATTACAGTAGATGCTACATACTAAGAAAATTCCTCCCACCTAAGGAAATAAAGCCCTTTAAAAACACAGAGGATTATCTTAAAAAGTGGAGCGAGCTAAAAGTTGCAATAATTGGCAGAACTCTATATTGCTACTATATACAATACTAACATGAATTAACACATTATACAGTTGATGTGGCCAACATTTCACCAGACATTCACATATTACCATATTCAGCAGACTTGAAGCATCATTGGCATTCATTTAGATCCATGTTTCTGGCCAACTGATGGATGCAAGTCCAATGATTCCATTTCCTTTGGCTCTGTTTAAGTCTCCACCAGCTTTATATGGGTTTTTACTGTATGCTGGATGTTTTACTTTCATTTGTCCATCGGATGTTTGATGGGTCAGTAGCATACTGTGTGCTTATCAGAGATTTTTTGCTCAGAACTCGTACCGCTACTGCTGCAGAATTTGTAAACCATGATGTAAAAGATGGTAAAAAACCTTTGTAGAGCTGAGGGGGAACTGCAGAGTTGGGTAATAATTCTCTGTGGGTTTGTCACAGACTCCTTTCACAAACATTTTGATTAGCAGAGCTATAAAACATTTCTATATAAGTTTATAAGCTTTATACATTTCTAAAAATGTGACTTTTTGGATATTTGTGCTTTTAACAGGACAGCAACAAAGTTCAGTGAATAAGCCAGGAAGTTAGAGTGACTCACAAATTGGAGATAATGATAAGACCAAATTCACTATTAATAAAACCCCCATAGCATCTTTCTCTGTACTGTTTTACTGCTTGATTCCACAGGGTATTGCTTTCCGGCTGCTCGTCCTGACCCCTGCCATTTGTGATTCCACCAGAAGCGCCTAGTCTAAAGCTGATCGAGCTGGGCTGTCAGACACAAGAGCGGCAACGAAAATCCAGTTCATTTTTAAAATAATACACCCTGTGCAGACTCAAATTCGTATATCACATGAAAACAGACAAAAAGGAAACCATTTCACTTCGTGGCCTACTTAACCCACGGTAGACTCACCACTCTCATCAACCTTGTTTTAAGCCACAGCAGACAGCTGTTTTCAGCAAAAAAGCCATAGTAAACCCACTGCGTGCCACCTGCGGAGCATGTAGCAGTGGACAGCTACTGTAGCAATGACCTGGTGACAGATATGTACCTCATAAGTTGGTGGAGATCAAAACAGAGCAAAAAGGAAAGTGAATATTGAACTTAGTTTTGTCACATTGCTAAAAACAGGACTCAACATGAATGTTAATGTAGCTCTGTATCTGCTGAATATGTAAATAAGCTAGTGTTTGCTAACATGGCAATACATCAGTATTGTGTTTACATTGTATCCTGTAAGTGGAAAATATATCTATACTGATTTGCTGGTATTTTATGGTGTTTTGATATTTGGCTGAGGCACAACAGTTGTGAGGTCACACACTGTTCCATGCAGAGGACCTTGGTGGCTGGCCACCTCATCCTATATTCCTCTTCTCTTATCTCCCCTTTCCCCATTGGATATCTGCATCCACCGTCTTTGTACTGAACTCTACAGGTTTGTGCATTCAGAAAGGGAATATATCCGGTTGGTATTTCCCTTTTTGAATGAAGGCCCTGAATGATCTGTCTGTAATTAGAGGTGGGCTTTGGGGTCATTTTATGAGCCCAAGTAAGGTCTCAGCTTAGTTTAGTACACCAAGACTTTGAATCCTGGATGTGACACTTGACGTAACCTCGGGCAACAAACACCCTGGCTCTTGTTAATAAATAACGTACCCGCAGTGTAAAGGGGGAAGCTTGGACCTGAGGGTGTTTGTTCAGACTAGATAAATAATTTTTCACTTGCCAAACCACACAAAGCCGCATTGGTTGTCATCAGGCAGAAATGTAAGCAGGGTTTTCTTTGGAAATATTATGTAGATGAAGATCCTGCATAAAGTCAGTTGTTAAATGTATTATTCACTCAAACCAAAGCATGAAATGACTACTACTCTAAGAGGTTTGATGGACTTTGGCTGTTTTTAAATAAGTTTTATCAGAGTGGAAATTGGTGCACACATCAGCTGCAGTCCAGGCCTGGTCACACCAGCATTTAAAATGGAAAAATGTAGCCGTGAAATCAATTAATGACAATAGAATCCCTGCAAGCAAATGAATTGATTGCAAAGTAAATCTGCAAATGAAATGCAAATTTATCATGTTGTCTTGACAGCGCTGACCCATGATGGGCGGGGAGCCAGAGTCCAACATAGAGGAAGCTATTGTAGCTTGTTAGCGGATAAGAGGAATAGTCTTCAGACCGTTACGAGAGAAGAGTCATTGGTACAAATATAGTTTTTAAATCATCTGTGCACTCTGACTAGCGCTAGCATTTTCTAGCGTGTTAGCTGTGTTAGCTTGCCAGTTACAGTAGTTCTACTTTTTGGTACGACCGGCATTATTTGGCATTGAGTGTTACTGACGTGGTTAATTTCATCCACATCCAGTATTATCTGTGTTTTTTTTATGTTTGTCAAACACAAATCGTTGTACTATTTACATTGGTTGTCTGTGGGAAGTATGGAACCTGAACTCTTATTGATGCAACGTTGTTGTCTGACTGTACTGGACTGTACAGTATGCATAAATCATTTCTATTATGGTTTGTAGTTATGTGTTTTAATATTTGTTATGCTTTAAAAGAAGCTCATCCAAAATGCATTAACAGAATTCTAGGAGGTGAATCTAAATTAATGCTGAGGCTGATTAATGCTTTTTTATGTTAATGTGAATTGAATATATTTGGGTTTTGGACTATCAGATAAAATAAGTAATTTAAAAATGCTGCCTTTGGCTCTGGGCCATTGTCATGGGCATTCACTTGTTTCATCAAGAATGAAAAGAATCATTAGTTGACCTACACTAAATGTTTTAACATTGTTCAACCCTTTTACCAAGGCTAAATATCGTCTCAAAATATAACCGAAATTCAAATTCCATAACTGCAACCAAGTCATTTGAGAATGACGTTTTCAAATCAAATGGCAGTTACGTAACTTTCATTCCCAGAGTTTACAAAGTGTTACTGTGGAACTTTCTCTTGGTAAGTCATAAATTCGTAACTGTTTCTCATCTCCTGTTGCAGGATGGCCATCCAGGTTGACAAGTTTGACTTTGAGAGTCTGCCACAGCCAGACCAGGAGACAGCTCGCTTCACCAACCCCAAACAGCTGGAGGAGGAGCGACAGCATGCCCAGGGCTGCCAGATCAACAGCAAGCTGGGCATCTGTTGGAGTATCATATCCTTCCAGTGGCTACATGTACAGTAGTTATATCAGAGAAGCCCGCCTGAGCTCAGCATTGCTAGAGAGACAGTGGATAAAGATGGTAAAGGTTTACATTTATAAGTGTCCTTAGTCTCTACTGAACCAATCAACAGGTGATAATCCTGTGTGGTCAAACAGTGGTGGTCAAACAGAATTATTCAGCACTGTGTTTGTTGAATGTTGTTGTTTGTTGACATCAGTCAAATGAATGATCTGACATCTGGATCCTACATCTGGAGGCCCTCTGGCCAGCAGGGAACTTGTTTGCCTGCACTGACAGATGGGAAAGCGTATGGCAAAGTACTTGCCGCTCTGACAGTGTGAAGTGATGTCTTAGTGTGTTTATGTGTGGGTGTGTAATTGTGCCACACACTCACAGCAGTGCAATATAACATTTTCCCACAGGTCCTAGTTTGTGGGCAAGCTTTGTGGTCCATCCGAGGTAATCTTTGACACCATCATTGTCAGCGTGCTGCCCTCAGGGAGACGGCTCTTTGTATTTATTCCATTGTCTACTGTTGTCTTCTGGCCTGTCAGGTACATGTACACCACCAACACACTTGCTGTCAGAAATCAAACTTGTATAGGTAGTAACACAGATGCTAGCTGGGGTAGTATTTGTGTTCTATCTATATACTATAATGTTTCTTAACTAAACACTTACTGTGTCTAAATAAAATATCTTATACAGGGTTTTTCAACCAAAAGGAAGGAGTTAGAGGAACTTAACTGAGGAAATAAATCAGAAACTAAATGTTCCTGTTCCTGAGGAACATTCATGCTCACGTTCCCACTACTTTCGCAAGAACTGTGAATATTAGGATAATTGGACCATTGGCACATTAAAAAGTGGCAGCTCTGTTTGAGATATAAGAGACCTAAGCACTTTTTCATGGAACAAAACAACAAGCTGTTGAACTGAAACCTTTTTGGAAGAGAGAGAGGTAGAGGTGGCAAAGAGGATCAAAAACAACAGAAGGACGGGAGCTCTTTTTAGATTATTTTGGAAGTCAGCTACATGACATATTTAAACATCACAAAACTTAATTTCAACTTCAGACACATTAATCCTGCAAAACTCTACTGTTAGAGGACTAGATTGACCTATCGCTATATACTGATTGAATAAACATTGTTGTCCTTACAACATTATAAATCACATCTCAACAGCACCATATAATGTATATGTAAAAAATAAGACAATGAAAACAGCAAGTATTTTAGACATCAAGATGACTACACTGACAGTACATAATGATATAATGCTTCTGTACCGCTTCTGGCTGAAAACTGTATTTGACCCCGCCCCCACCCTCCCTTTACTATTAGGAATAGTTTTTAGTTACTTATTTTCTTACATAGTTTTCTATTCTTTATTACTATTTTATTTTACACTATTTTTATGGAGCAAATTATAGGAGCTTATGAATTTCAGTATGATTCTATGTGACAAACTCGAGGGCTCACATTGACCAATCAGTAACTTTAAATAGCGCAGACCCAGGACCATCTAAAAGTACTAACTCAAAGGCAGGGACTATTTTGGGGATGAGAAGGCCAAAAGTTGTTCCTGCTGTACAAATTCTGGTAAAGCTTATTAGTTTTATAACATGTTCCTGTTGAGAAGAGCTACCAGTCATTATGCATATAGTGCCTTGTTATCGTTATCAGCACATAACTCATCAGTTGGCAGTTAGCGGTGCACATATTTAGAGATTTAAGAACAGCCTGTCAGATTGTTGGTGAGCATGGTGCACAGTTAATGATGAATCTAATCTCAGAGCTACTGAAGTTGCTGTTATATTTTTCCTTTTTATGAAGGCGTAAACACTCCCATCATTATGTGTATTGTTTTATCTACAAGTAATTTGGCAGCGTGTAGGCAGGAATGAAGAAAGAAAATGACATACAAATGTATTCCCAGCGGCACGTCTGATAGCGTTCCTTTCACTGCAGCCTGAAACTGCCTGTTTTATTGTTTTATCCCATTTAGAACATATGTTATGATAGTAATTTGTGAATTTAAACAAGTTGCTTTTGAAGCTGAACAGCATATAGACAGGCTCTAGTAATTATGTCATCGACAGATAAATCCTGTAGCTGCTAAGTACGCAGTGAAACAGCCACTGTGATTATTCTAAGCCCTAAACACAGTATGTATTGTGATAAAAGGATGAAGTGGTAAAATAGAGGTACCTCACTCACTGAAGTCCATATAAAACTGAAAAGGGTTACGCTTCAGTCTTCAACCCTCATCAAATGGACATTTTCTCATGTTCAAATACAAGTCATTTGGATGGAATATCTCAAACACAACTTATGTTAAGTAACTGACTCATTCAGCATAAACTGACCAACACTAAAATTGTTAAATTGTTTCCTTCAATGCTTTGTGTGCAGAGAGAGACTCAGCTGTCTCAAATCATCACAGTAGCACAATGTAAATTGTGCTCCAGGCTGGATGTTCCCTTTACAACATGAAAAACTATAGAAATAAAAGATTTGATTACAGTGCATGTCACACTCTGAAGCACTCACTTGGCCCTGAGCAGAGTAACAGTCACTTTAATTTGTAATTTATGAGTTCTTACAATATTATTCCTGTTTTGTTGACGGTGTTCGGTTATAGTGATTCATCCATAGGGAAAGACATTGCCATATACAGTACAGACAGTGTGAAAAAATAGAGATGAAGTAGGGAATGTGTTATGCGTGTCTTCCCCTTGAGGAGGTCATTGCCAAGTTCATGAATCATCCCTGTGTGCTGAATTTCATTTCTGTCTCCGTAGCTCTGTTAACCAACGCTAATTATATTGTAACTCCCTGTAAAGCTGTCTTAGCAAGCATAGTGAATCCAGATTATAGTTTGTCTGAGATAGTGCGGCTAGCCAGAAGCAACAGCATGTTACTTCAAGTATAGATTGACTTCAGTGGACACTAGTGCCGTTTAGGCCTTGTTTTAAAATTGTATGTAGCAGCACTCTTTGTGTAATTTTTTGGTCTAAACTTGGGTCTAGGGGTCGTCCTGACAGTTTTTTGTATTTTGCTAGAAACCATTTGACTGAAAAGTTGCTAATATTGCTCTCAAGCAAGGACCAAATAGGTAGCATAAATCTCAAAGAAATAGTAAAAAACTTGAAGCCATTTTGACGGCCCAAAGCAGGAACGCACCAATTCTCCAAGCAACACTTTCGAGGCATTTATGTTTCTGTGAAGATTTTAATTAAAGTAAGCAATGACTCGTCCATTTTCTTTTGCCCAGAGGAACTTGGTGTATGACACATAAAACTTCCAGGCAACAAACAGAAAATTAATGATGAATGAAGTTTAGTGGATGGACAAGGATGTTGATCATCCATACATCCACTACATCCAACATGGTGGACTCATTCTAAGGTAACAAAAACACAATGACTCTTATTTTCAGGTGATTATACACAATGAAAACATACCTATGAATATTATATCAGGAATTTCACTGCGAATTGGGCGGTTCTGGCCTCCCGGTCGTGCATTAATTCCTGACAATGGACACCTTGTCGGGTATCGTCCCTTACATATAATCCTGTTGCACACAACCACAGACAACAGTGCTGCTTACCATGTTTATTTTGCAGTCAGTCCCATCAAATGTGAATTTTGTTCACACAACCCATTACCCGACCCATGTTCAAATGTAACCATTTAAAACCCAGTAAGTGCTGAAAGACATGGCTGTGGAAAAAGACACCAGGGCTGTCACTATGACCTTTACCTGGGTAAGAGCCAGAAAATGGATTGATGGATCGATGGAAGAAGCCTTTTAATCATGCGCTGTTTTGACCCCTTGTTTCCAATATCGTTGTGTTTGTACAGTACTCATAAGGTAGATATTCTTTCTAGTATAGTGAGACCAACCTTTTATCTACAGTTTTTGTCAAACCTAAAGATGATCAGGATGAAAGCGAGGCTTATACCTTTCTCCTTAAGGGACTCCTTTTCTATCATTGAGTACTGATTAGGTGATTTATTTATTTTATATTTTATATGTATTCATTTTATTTTATATTGCATTTGATGCATAACAGTAACAGTACAGAATAACTGATAAACTGTAAAATGAACCCAAATAGTGAACACAAACATGAATGATTTGGATGAATTTTGAGCAGATTATTTTCAGTGAATATTGCATCAGGGATGATTTTCCTGATCATTTTAGGGGACTTTTAATACTGTCTGTATTATGTAATTTTAAGTTTTTTTTAACAGTAATACATACTTAATTGGCTTCTTCATGGACAAATTCAGTGTTTGAAAAACCAATACATAGGCCTACTTTGTATATTTCTTAAGTGTTCTTACACCTCTTAAAAACAAGCTCTTGTCTTTTTGTCTATTATCTTCACTCACAGCAATCCATCCAAAAGTTGTGAACACATTTCACTAGCTACTGTTTGTCCCTAATATCAATAATAGTATCAGTAATTTGTGTTAGCATATCTATCTTATAAACCTGGACACAATTTTATTAGTACATGGCTACCATTTTCTACTAGTGTGTGTGTTTTGGAGTTTGTAGGTGAACTCTATCTGTTTCCTTTACTGGTGGAATCGTACAGTAAATTCCGGGCTACTCTCCAATCAAACAGTGGCTACTCTTCGTGCAGTGGTGTCAGTAGATATAATGAACATTCCCATATTATATAACATGTCAGCTTCAAAGCGGACTCGTATGAGGGTCCACTGAGGATTTCAGTAGAAAGCCAGATGCTCGGACTACTGATCATCATGTTACTGTAACAACCAGGCTGTACCGATGAAGATGTACTGTAGCTGCTAGGTGCTACTGTTACCCAACAGTTGCACCGAAGCCTTGAAGTATAAACTTTACTTGTTCATGCTACAAGTCATCAAAGCCACAACGCTGCCATTGTTTGCCAGTGTGCATTCAAATAAGATGCAGGTGCATGTTGTGACATGTGAATCATTATGAGTCAGACTTTGGAAAGGATCCAGCGGGCACAGCAGAAGCACTTTTCAGCACAATATGTTTTGTCTGTAGATGCCTTTTCTCTCTCTCTCTTTCTCTCTCTTTCTCTCTCTCTCTCTCTCGCGCCCTCCCTCCCTCTCTCTCTCTCTCTCTCTCTCTCTCTCTCTCTCCCTCTCTCCCTCCCCCCCTCCCTCTCTCTCTCTCTCTCTCTCTCTCTCTCTCTCTCTCTCTCTCTCTGTTTTTCTCTCCATCTCTTTTTCTCTCTCTCTCTCTCTTACTCTCTCTCTCTCTCCCTCTGCATGCATACTGTACTCTCCCTCAAAGGTTAATAGACACAGGTTCGGTGCTCTAGGCACTGCTCGTCTCACCCATTATTCCAAATGTCAGCTGTGTAAATGATCAGCGGTGTGCTTATCATCACATATTATCAGGGTAATTGCTCTCTGACAGCCATATTTGTTTTGATGCAGCATTCATACATCGATAGCCTGCCCTGCGATCGGTTGAATGCTGTCATTATAGTCAGGTTACAGAAACATGCTCTCCATATAACGTTGACCTCTAAATGAATGCATTATGTAAATAACATGAAGCATTTAATCTGTAGGACTTTTATTTCGCCCTTTTGCACATTATGCAGCTGTAAATTGGGAAAATCAATGCCATATTTTGTGTCAGTTTGAATTTATAGTAAGTAAGTAGTAGTCTAAGATGTTTCGTTATGTTGAGTAGTGATATCTCCCTGTTTTGGCATTCTGTATGTGCATATCTACTACTACTAATACTAGTATCTAAAGCCTTATTGACTGATTTGCAGTTATTTCTTTATTAACTTTGTGTACGATGAGGTTCACAAATCCACACATTCAGCATATACCACATAAGCAGCTTTCATGTGTTTAACAATTTCTCTCTCTCACAAAGTCAATTTGGCCCTTTAATCTTCTGGTAGAGAGACTGTAAGCAATTCTGTTCTATGAATAAACCAAGGAGGTAAGCAACTGTGATGCAAGCAGCAGACTCAATTGACTTGGCTGTAAGAAAGCAGGACTGTTTCCCCGCAATGATGGACTTGGGTTTTATACTAAATGTGATCATTCAGATGATAATCAATTTATTTCCATAATATTTCTAGGTTCAGTACATCATCAGAAACTTCTTGATAAACCTTTGACACTGATAGGTACAAAAAGTGCACAAGATGACTACATTATGGGCCCATTAATATTGTGTCTGACATCCATTAAGGGTCTGCTGAAAAAGGACTTGCTACTGCTTAAAATTCTCAGAGGTTCAGGGTTAGGGTTAAAATGTCCCCTGATTACTTATAAAGTTTACTTTATTTTAATGATATTTAGAATGTCTATATGTATTGGTATTTATTTGGGGGGGGGCTCTTTGCCTTAATTTTATGGCACCGCTTGAGTTAGACAGGAAAGGGGGAAAAGAGAGAGGGAATGACTAGCAGTAGATGTGTAGAACAACAGTGTGTTATGTTTGTTGTAGTCTTAGCCTTTTATTATCACAGTGCACAATATGATGCATTGTTATTAAACTCCTAGTTTTACAAGTAACTGTTGTTATGTACGTGTATGCTGCAGGCTTTCTCATGTTGATTAATACTTGAAATGCACCAAGCCTCTCCATGCTCTTGTCCTTAACCGAGCCCACCCTTCCCTGCGGCGCCGTGGAGAGGCCAGTGTGGAGGGAGTCCTCAACCAGCTGGTCCTGGAGCACCTACAGCTTGCTCCTTTGCAGTGGGGTGAGTCTCTTACGTGTGTGCCCGCGTGTCTGCATGTGTGCGAGATTATGAGTTCAGTCATGATTGAAGGTTTGTGTACTCCATGTACACTTTCACAAATTTGTTGTTATTTATGTGCAACATAGGTAAATAAGTAAATGAGAGAAAAAGTTTAAATCATGTTGTGGCTGTTGTGTTTTATGGATTTCTTTTTATCTTTCTGTTTTTTAAAAAAAGAAAAGAATTAGACCTCCCATTATGTTCTCTGTTTGTCTGCCAATCACAGTTATCTATGTGGGTCCATATCTATCTCTTTACCTGTCAGTTAGTGCATAAAACTCCAGAACTGGTCTCAAGCCATGTTTTTTATTTGCATTTATAATGGGCTACAGGCTATTTTGGAGAAGTGTAGACAGCAGCTTGGGAAATGTGTGAATCACCGGGGACACACAAAATTTGTAGGAGCGCTCTTCAGTTGCACCATCTGTGATCACCCTCTGAAATCACTTTTGATTTGCTGCGGATGTTTGTTTTCTGAGATTCCCGCTCTCTCTTTGGGCACTGCCAGCATTTTGATTAGTCAGCTGGGGCTGTCCTGCTTTTGCAAAGAGAAAGCAATCTGCACAATGAAGCGACAGCAGATCAAGCATGGAAATGTAAGAATCCATTGAGACACAAATGGGGGGGGGATCAAGGCAGATACTTTGCTGCATTCACTGTTCTTCAGATATTTTTGGCATTTGACACGCACCCCCTTCTGTGAGAAGACATCCCCAAGAGTAAAGCTGTTGTGAAGAGACCCACCTATCGTTAGGCTGATATTCTACATTATGTGTGTAATCTCAGAGCAGACAATTGCAGCAGTTGTTATTTCCTCATGTCTTCATTTCTGTAAAGGTTTTCTTGCAGTTCCAGTTCAGTTCGTTGCAAGCCTTGCTGATTATGAGCTAGATAATTTGCCTCAGCCCATTAGGATGCCTTTATCAGGGTTGCAAAGACTATCACAGGCTCAATTACTGGTATAGTTCAAGCATTTCCCCTGTGTCTCAAATCGTTGGTCCAATTGGATGCTTTTAATACCGTTGTGTCTCTGGAAGCCTCCTACTGTAGATAAATATAACTTGCTTGTTACAAAAAATCTGATTTTATTTGATTATTGAGATGTTTATGACCAAAGCTTTTTTCCAGTTTTTTCATATGAGGGATTGAGAGTGTCCAGTGGTATTTTTGTTTATTACTCAGAAAATACTACTATTGATCATTCAGTCAACCCCCCATCCACTGCTTTCTCCACTTCTTGCAGACACTAATTTTACTTTTTTCTCTTAGAAAGTAGCAGGTGTTTCAGTTTTTAAAACAGAGATGCTGTTACGTAAGGCTGGGGGAACCTTTTTTCTACTTACACAATTCTGAATCAATTACAAAAATCCATCTTTAAGTTAAGTTTAGTTTCAGTTTTCTCCTGCTGGCAGTCTTAACTTGCCCTTTCTGGCCTCCGTGGCTCGTCAGTCACAGCTAACTTTAGCTCTCAGTTGCTCTAAAATTCAAATAGTCCTGTCTTCATTGAAGGAAAGTGTTTGGGTGCACTTTGGATTCTACAATCCCCAGAGGAAGAAGCAGCAGCCGACTGGAGTAGATACTAAAATCAGCAGCCCTCTGTAATGAATTGAGATAAGATTTAGAATCAAATGGTGACCTTAATAATCAAAATCGACTCGAATTGTGAGATACCAAAAGATTCATACCCATATTGTTATGCCTACTTTATTTGCATCCACTGAAATATTGTAAGCCTCTTTTTACCTATCTTGATCATAAGACTTTGCAGCAAGTGGTTGCAGACAGTAATCTCTTTAACACATTTCATTTCCTTGTCCATAAGAAATGACAAGTGTGGATTATTGCTGATGTGAAAAGGCAGCATGAGATTTGTGATGTTTGGCAATCAAAGTGTTTTATGCTTCATAATAATCTTAATGAGTTCATTGGGAAATATTAAATATTTAACAAATGTAAATTGGGTCATCTATGCACATGCCCTGTGCACATGTGCTTTTCTGGAGCAGAAGTCAATCAGGGGAGTCATTACCTCCCCTAGTGCCCCCCATGGCAGCACCGTGGCAGTTTTCCAAGGATGAGGAGAATGATGTATTTCCGTCACAATATTTTGAGCAGTCGAGCCGCATCTGTATATTAACCTCTGCAACTCGACTATAAAATAGGGTGGCGTGGCATGAAGATGCACGCAGGACTCCACGGAGATAAATTATTGACGGGGATCTGCGCTGCGTCACTGTGTGTGTTCAATTTAAAAATCACACATTGGTTTGAAAATCTCATCCACTAGCTGGGCACAAGTAACATGTTGTGAATATGAGTGTGTTAAATACTGCTGTGTTGAAGGGTTTTGTATAATGCACTGGTCCTCTTGTGTTGATGGTTCCTTATTTAATCCAAGAAAGGCTTCAGTAACTCTCCACAGTTGAAATCCAGCTGCCTAGTACACAGTGCATTCCTTGAGGACCATCATTCCATCAGCTTCCCTGCTTTTCTACACATACTTATTTAAAGAAAATTGTAATCGCTTCCAATTACAATCTCAATCAGAGTATTTGAGCGCGGGGCATCCTCGTTGACATGTACTCTAATAACGAACGTAGATTTAGAACAGTTGTCAGATGCCTTCACCCCTGTATCTGGATGACCACTTGTTGAAATTTAAAGGTCCAGTGTGTAACATTTAGGAGGATCTATTGGCACAAATGGAATATAATATTCATAGCTATGTTTTCATTAGTGTATAAAATGGTAGTGAATTACAAATTCCTGGGTGTTCACCTCAATAACAAACTGGACTGGACTGACAACACCCATGCTCTCTACAAGAAGGGCCACAGTCGCCTTCACCTGCTGAGGAGACTGAGGTCCTTTGGAGTAAGCAGTAAAGTCCTCAAGACTTTTTATGACTCTGTGGTGGCTTTAGCCATCTTCTATGCAGTGGTCTGCTGGAGAGGGGGCAGTACGGACAGGGACAGGAAGAGACTCAATAAACTGATCAGGAGAGCGAGCTCTGTCCTGGACTGTCCTCTGGACTCCATAGAGGAAGTGGGTGAGAGGAAGATGTTAGTGAAGCTGACATCCATCATGGACAACACCTCTCACCCCCTACATCACACTGTGGGGTCCCTGAGTTGTTCCTTCAGCAGCAGACTGTTACACCCACCGTGTAAGAAGGAGAGGTTCCGCTGGTCTTTCATCCCTGCCGCTGTCAGACTCTACAACACCTGATCAATGTTGTAGTTTCTGTTTTTCAAATTACCACCATACCATAGCTTTACCACTTTACCATAGTTGTTTTTATATCTGTATTTATTTATTTCAAGTAAAATGCTGCTGTGACAAGGGAATTTCCCCGTTGTGGGATTATAAAGTAATACAATAAATAAATAAATAAATAAATAATCACCTAAACATAGGAATCGTTACGTTTTCTGTTCTTAGAATGAGCTCTTTTAGCTGCAGACGCCAAGGGTCACCTTCAGTGGAGGCCGCTATGTTGAACCGCCATGTTTCTACAGTAGTCCAGTAGGGACAAACCAAACACTGGCTCTAGACAGGGGTGTTTTTCTGGATGTCAGTGGAGCGCACTGATATGAAAACATCATGCATACTCACACATAAAATATAAATTGTGTATTTTTCCAAATTTTAGGACCCTGAACATTTACAGTACTCTAGTATTGTAAATATTTGAATGAATAGGCCAATTAAAATCTAATTAAAGTTGCATTAAGATCCAGTGGCTGGTCCCAGACTTAACAGCACTGGAAGGAATTAGGAATGGAGTCAAAAGAAAACCTTGTTCAAATGCATTTAAAAAAGTCGAAATCTGGGGAACGGAGAATTATAAATTAAACATTTCTTAAAGTTCCACTGTAACTTTCAGTCTTGTACATGACTTTCCTTTACTAGCACGTTGATATAAAATATTGAGTGCGCATATTTTGAAATACAAACAAAAACATAGCACAACAATAAATACAAAAACTCAACACTGTGAGACTCATTGCCTGAGCTTGTGTGTGGCACTGGAAACCTGATGCCTCTTCATGATTTGCTACCATAGAAATCTATGAATTTTTGATCACACAGCTTCCAGTAAATGGCCAACATGGAAAAATCCAGAATCTCTTTTATGGCGTTGTGTTTGTTTACAAGCTCATTATTATTATTGAAGGGGGAGCAAACAGAGGCCATTAGTAAATTATTCTACCTCTGGGCAGAATCAGTCCATCAGTCACATCAGCGGAGCTACGATCATGTAAGATCACACATGATGAAATTTACTACATAATTACAAATGAGTAATGCAATGCCTTTATTTTTAATTAGTGACACATTCTTTTGTTTCTGCTGAATTTAAATTTTTGGGGTACAGAGGACGGCTGTAATTCACAGAGTGGGCTAGAATTTAAAGCGGATTACTTTTATGTTAATGTGTTAAGCTTGTTTGAAAAAAAAAAAAACAGAACAATTGGACACAAATGTAACCATAAACACAAACAAAGATGAGAGGACTGCTTTTTCTTTTGTCTTTTCTTTCTTTTATTTACACTGTCTAGAAAGCATATCTCCTCCAGTACTTTTTTCCCATAAAAATGTGGACAGCTTGAACATTATTTTCTGCCTGTGTTGTTTCACAGAAGCTCCAATTCTTCCAAAAGCCCACTGTTTTGGAAGGAAATTAATATTAATATCATCTGCAATATACTAGTCACTTTTGCAGCATAATCAATTTATGGAGAGGTTTCATGGACCAGAAAAAAAACCTTACAGATAAGAGCGAAAATGCCTAAAACTCCTGCAATTGCAATGAATATAATTTTGGATTGATATGTTCCTCTTTGAGTACTACTCTAATTTCAAGTTTCTGTGCTTTTCATAGTCATTTAATTTTCTGCTCCAGCAGTAAAAGTCTGTCTGGAAGCTGTTCTGTCATTCTGTCACAGATAGTGACAGGG